TCAATTTAAGCATGTCCGTCTATGTGTCCGTTCGTTGTAAATGTTCTCCTGGCCGCCAAATGTGGCGGGAACATCGGAAGTTTTTGTACGCAGGTTGGTATTGAAAATGAATCGAAAATCGGTCGAAGGACACACCCACGGCACCACGTAAACTAAGAACACCTCGGTTTTTCAAAAGGAATAAATAATTTTGCTCACTTCTCATAATTTGTACCAGATAACCGTAGTGCCTGTACAAAAATGGAACAAAATTGACCACGCCTTCCCTATGTAATAGTATATCAAATTTTTTTATCAGCGTCTGTATAAGGCACAAGAACAAGCTTTAAAAACCCCCTTTAAGTATATAAATCCTTGGACAGTTTCAAATTCGGAATACACATGTCCGTCTGTCCATTTTTGTATTAGTGATAAACATTCCCCCGTTAGCGAAAATGAAATTTGCAACTGAACTAAACTTTTCAAAGAACACCGCTACAAGTCCCACACGCCTAGAAAACACAAACTTTTACTTTGAAAATAAAAAATATCAGCCGCCCACACTCCGTATTGTAGAGCATAAAAACTTAATCCCTTTACCGCTTTTCCCTTTTTAAGGTTAGCGGTGATAAATATAAACGATTCGGTCACGACCGAATATAATTTTCTTACTTGTTTATATTCTATTGAATGTATTTGTTACACACAAGCTATCATAATTTAGACTGTAAAAAGGGTATTATTTATGATCACTAATCTGTATCACCGTTTGATCACCTATAACCCACCTATACTTTCACAACTCATTTCAAATAAATACACTTACCTTGTCGTCTTCTACTCTTTAATCCAGAAAAACCTACGAATTTTCGCTTAGAACAGAGATGTGTTGATCTACCGCTTTATTCCGGACGTGTGCTTTAAACAATTTGACCCATTTTCAGTACCAATCTGCTTGCAGACACTTCCGACGTTTCTGCCAAATTTGAAGTTGATATCTTCACCTTTGCGTCCAAGAGACTGTCAATAACATGCATCATACAGACGGACGGACGTTGCTGAATCGATTCTAAATGTCGGGCTGAGCAAGAATATGTACACTTTGGATTTTGAAGATGCAGGATAAATATGTAGCAAGTCTACATATATACGGACAGTATATATTAAGCAGATAAAAAATGTAATATACCGGTTAGCTTTGCCTTTTCCTATTTACCTAAAAAAAAGCGACAAATAGACATCACCGTTTGCAGTGCGTATACTTCGGTTGAAATATCGGTGAATCCTGACTGCTAGGTACAGACATTTTTGGTGTCTGTGGTAACTTAAAAGCGCGAGAGCTATAAATAATGAGAGACAGGTACGCTTTGAACACTACTCAGAGTAAGTTTATTGACCATATACTCTAAATCGATCTGGTATTCCATGAGTAGTGTCGCTTCTATCTTAAAGGGATTGTGCCACTTAGTAGCGGGCGCCATTATTTCAGCGAAGATCATAACGTTAACTCACAGGGGGGGAAACATTAAATCACTTTTATATAAACTGAACCTATGCGTCTTATTCCAAACCTATGCTCGCCAGATATTGAACCTTCTGATCGCCGTCTATTTAAATTTGTGCCTCTCCTAGCGAAAAGCAAACTTGGCAAGGAAATGTTTGAAGCGTGGAACTAGAATTATCGGAGACTGGGCATAGGTTTCCGTAAACCGAGCTTTTCGACGATACCAAGCAAAGTGTGGAGTTGGGGCCAGTCCTTGTTTTTACTAAAAATCCTTACAAATTTATACTGCACACCTACGACAATAAATATTAAGCCGCTGCCAAGTGTTCTCATTAAATATAAAAAAACTTTTCCATTAGTGATATTACCTTGATTTTTTATAATGTCAGTATATGTGTGCGTCTGTCTGCTTAATTAAATAACAAGTCGCTAATGAACTCTTCGGATATGTCGAAGTACATGCGTGTATGGCAATAGATATTTTACTGTAACCATGGCTGAATACATTGGCACAACAAAACACTGTCCGTTTTAGGCCAAAACAAAATGTTTGTGGAGCTTTTTTTTGTCCCGTCATTTGGTTGCGCGACCAGTATTTTGCTAATTTCCAAAAATAACATCAGCGTATTTTTTTCTTTTTTTTTGATTTTCTGGTGCGGAAAGCGAAATAATTTTAAACAAAATCTATATTCAGAATTTTGTTTTCAGTAAGTTTTGAAAAAAAAATAAATAAAAAAAAAACATATTCTCTTGATGTCTGTTCTACTTTCGCTTTGAGAATTTTTACATATTTAAAATTCATTGCATATGCAATTTTTTATTTTTTTTACAAAATAATTTGTTTTTGTGCAAAAGGGTTTATATATGTAGCAACAATTAATAAAAAAATGAAGAAGAACAAATGTTTGGTGAAAATTTCATTAAATTATAAAAAAAAAAAAAACATGATGTGAGAAAAATTATAAAAAACGTGCTAAAAAACTGTCTTATGATTACTATGTTGAAGTGTAAGATAAATTAGATTTGTGTGCGGTTATGTGCTCAATTTTGAAAAATAATTGCATGCATTCAAGTTTTTTCCTAAGACTTTTATTCTAGTTCGCGCCTTCATTAATATTAATAAGCACAAGATATGTCAACTGTAACGTGCAATAAGATATCATGTTTGGCTCAAGTCCAATCTTTTGATGCTAAGCATTAACATTAGATGTAAAAATAAAAGAGTATGGGTTTAGTGTGGAAATAGTTTCCTATTTACTTTACAAATTCATTGCTGGACAAGTTACAGATTTTTACACCTTTTTCCCCAATCAATTAAGATTAGATATATCGCCGGTTCCTTTTCCAAAGTATGAGTCGCTAATCTATTCGGAAAGGTCGTAGCCAAATAATGAAACAACGTGAAGTGATAGATGAAAATTTATGTATTCTTCGCCATATTTGAAGTTAGATTTGGAAACATTTTCCAGTCATTTTTGAATGCATTTACTTTATGCGGAACATTTGTAACCGGGAAATTTCCTAAGGTTGAACCTAGATGGCCATAAACATTGTCCCAACAATTCACTTTGATCGCCTTAAGGAATCTTTGGGATTATGTACATAAAAAATTGTGGTTTTTCTTCCCCAAATATTTTTACACCCACCAACGAAGGGTGTGACGGAACTCTCGTTTGGCCAAAACACATGCAATACGCAGAAGCTTGAGACATCCCATAAAGTATGGATATACTTGATCGGCATTAAATTCTAAACCAATTTAAGCCTGTCTTTGTGCTTGTCTGTCCGTCCTTGCCGCAAAAATGATGCATTCGTCTTCAAAACTGAAACAAGCATTGGAACTTCTTGTATATAGATTGCTGTATGACCAATAGATTGGCCAATGGACCGGTCATTCCCTACATAAAGATATGTTATCTGTCTAAAAATACTTTAGTGTTAGATTAAATATGGTGGACCCCACGACGTGGAGGATTCGTTTTTTCTTAGCCGCATAAACAATTAGAAGTCGAATAAAAGGACTTTTAGATCAGAATACGACAAGCTAAGTGTTTTAATTCTAAATTAAATATCGCCGAGGTCACGACCCGGTAGGTTAACTTTTTCTTCAGAATTCCGTCGATAAGGATATCAAATGGAAGGATTGGATAGTAGATATAGATAGAAGATGAGATGTGCCCATAGACTACAACAGGCACACCATATGAGTTTCGACTTTCGCTTGAGAAAAATGGAAAACTTCGTCCACGCCCATGCAATGTTAAAGAATGGATAGGTATGTTTAATTTTTACCTTTTTTCAGGATAATGGTGTTGGGTACAAAAGATTCCATGGGCCATGGCCGAATATAATTTTCTTATTTTTATATTTAATTGGCTTGAGGTTTGAACTTGTGAACACAGACTTGTTAGTCGGGATTCTTACCTACTCGGCTTCTCATTCGGCTGTAAGTTCCCATTGATAAATGCGTCAATTCCTTATATTCCCTATATATTATTGTTATTTATGTAAATATAACATTTTTATGTGAATGTATGCTTCAACTGAATCAACCGGAGCTAGTTTGCTGTTTGCTAGAATCAAATCTCGAACGTAGCCGTGTGCTGTAGGTCATGTCATCTGCATCCCCAAGACTTATGAAAATTATGTCGAACTTTTTTTTTAGCCTGTAACTGTTATTTGATGCCCTTTTCCCTCTTTAGAAGAATTCGTACCTTTTTTTATCTTCTTTGCCCTCGTAAATTTCCAACCTCAGTAATTGTGGGGTCTTGAGATGAAAGGTATCAAAAGGACAAATAAGCATTTACTTGTTATTTCACTCTAGATGTAACATTCGTAGGTGTAGCTCGGTCGTACATCGGTGTTTGGATATTACTATTAACCGTACAACTTTAAGAAGAATAAGCTAAATTGAATCTGAATCACTTAGAAACATTTGAGGCTATATCATCTTGCGCATGGCTCCTGTATATTAAGTGTGTCCGTCAATAGATCGGCATGGTATCCGTATTACTTTCTGCCCATTAAATTTTTGAACTGGTTAATTATTAACGTATCTACGTTCGCCGGGTTAAATGCAAGACGAAGTGGAGAAGCTTGAGAAACGAGAATTAGTCGTAAATTTCGAATTTTGAATGCCATTGCCGCCTTGTTGCATATATAGTGAAATCGGGTCTTTGTGGCCGTTTCATTAAAGCCTAGTTAACTAATTTTAATTAATTAAAGTAAATAATTAATTTACATTATATATTAATATATTTAAGATCTTTTCGCCTCCTACGCATGTAACGATGCTCGCATTGAAAAATGAACTTAGATTTACTTATGCGAAAACTAATTGAAAATGTCAGTCGCGCTGCAATGTGCGCTTCATTAATAAAATAATTTTAATTATAACATTTAACAATTCGCAAGGGTATGAGTTAAACGCAGACACATCATTTATTGTAACTTCTCTCTAATGTTTTTTTTTTTTTTATTTTTTTTATTTTTTTTATTTTTCTATTTCTAATTCTAGATAATCTACAAATAGCAAAAAACTCTTACGTTCCCGTAGTTAGATCTTCTTCTTGGAGCATTTTGCTTTGCATTTGTTCCTTTTTGGTGCAAAAAAAAAAAGAAAAAAAGAAAAAACGACAAGCAGACACATATAGAGGCGGTCACTTGTGTGAGTCATGCTGCTACGTGTGCTGGTGGCTCCTCAAGTGCTGCTGTTGTATTCAATTTGTTTGAAAAATAAAATTCACAAAGAAAACGTAAAAAAACGTAAAAAGAAACGCTTTTCTAATCCCCACAGAGAAGGGAATACGGCGACATAATATAAAAAAATTTGGCGGGATTTACAATTTACATACGTGTGTGTTTACATATCTATTACATGAATTTGCGTTCTATTTGCAAATAAAAAAAAAGAAATAAATAAATAAAAAAAACAAATAAGAAGAAGAAGAAGAACCATTGCCAGACCAAAGAAAAGAAACGAAACCAAAACACAAATAAATTTTCAAAGCTCATATACAAATCAAAGTCTGAAAATTTAATTTAATTAAGCAGAGGAGGAGGAGGAGGAGGGACAAACCCAAACCAAAATTATCTTCTTTTTTTTTTAATACAATTTTATATACAATTAAGTGCATTAAAAAATGTCGGGAATATTTCGTCAGAGTTCATTCTTGAACAGCACCAATGAATCAACGCCAAACAAACGTTATTCCATAAGTGCATTTTGGTAAGAGACAACTCTGCATGCATTCATTTTTATATAAAACTAACATAACCTAATCCGAACGGCACTGTCTTAAAAAACACAACCTACAAAGAATTTCATTTAATCTGACAGCACATGTGTACAATTTACATTCTTCCCCTTCTTTTTAGGTATTTAGTCTTAGAATTTATTTCTCCAGCTAAACTAATTCTCTATAATTTTTCCTAAATTTTATCTATCGCCTTATAGGGGAGGCATTTGAAAAATCAAATGCAGAAATGTAAATAACATTCTTCTTCATGCTTCTTCTTTTTAACTCATATTCAAAGTGCCTGTATTTTAACATCATATAATATAATGATTTTCACGGAATCCCTTACCATATATAATAGATTGAAGGAGATTTTATTGCATTGTCAATAACGGGAGTGGTCCTCAGTGTGTGAAATACGCAACTCGAGATTTATGGATGGCCTTTATTACAATAACAATTTAATCATGTCGCTAAAAAAGCTAGCGTCCTCAAAGGGTTTAGCATAAGCAGAGACTCTAGGGACTTTGTGAAGCACATTGATTAAGCACCACTACAAAAGAATTCATGCGTTTCTGACTGAGCCTGCAATTACGATTTCAGTGTTTTAATAACACATTAAAGAAAAATGTTATCATTTTTCCATCCAGAGTAGTTAAGGATGGAGCCTTTATTCGAGCAATTAAGATTCCATCTTGTCGTTAATTCGTTAACGTAAATGACGTCTGTAACGCCTTGCGTGCGCTTGTAGATGCAAAGGACATCTATAGCAGTTTCCTGCAAAAAGCGTCCCCAACAAAAATATTATCATTTTTCTATCCACTTCTTAACCACATTCAAATTTGACTGTACTTTAGCCTCATGTACTGATTTTAAGATTTTGTCGGAATATCATTAAAGAAACGCCATTCCGCAGCTCGATCCAGGGTTGATAAGGATGGAGGTTTTATTCGTGCAATCAAATTTTCATCTTGCCATTAATCCGTTGACATCCATGCCGTGTACTTGTAGATGCAAACAACGTCTGTAGCACTCTCATATTCTTAGTGTTAGTACAGAACAAAAAAAAAGAGTGTCTTTGCAAGCACTCCTTGATTTTGAAGTGAACATCGTAAACGTGTTGAATAAGTTCGCGTTGCGCATAGTGTTTTGCGCAAGGTATATATATATAGGAATACTCACTAGTGGCTCGCTAAGCACCATCACTGCCCATCCGTCTGCAAGCAGCGATATCAGATTTATTAGGGTGTTTTTATTCAGTTTCTTTCTCTTTTTCTTTTTTTTAATGCGAAATTAATAGACGACGTAATCCCTAAAAATCTTAGTGGCATCCACTATCTCGCGAATTTTCAACGACCATAATGTTGATGATGAGGTCCGTACCTACCGTTATTGGGCGGCCGGTGCGGTTTTCTTCATCTTTCAAGTCAATATTGCCGGCTCTAAATCTCTCAAACGTATTGTGGACGGTTCCAAGAGTCGTCGTACCACACCCATAAATGGTGAAAATTAAGTCTACAGTTTCTACATTTTTTAAAGCATTGAAGCATAACATTGAATGGTGTGTGTGTTTAAAGCAAACTTTGTTACTAACGAAATGTACTTTGAAAGCGTTATGCGAGGACTGCAATCGATGCGTTAAACGAATAATAGATAAGCTTGCATATTTACAAACATAGTCCACTTCGAAGTCGTACATAGCGCGGAGAGGGGAAAATTTATGGGGCATCCTTATATTATGTCACGGTTATGTTCAAGGACGCCTAAGCCTACTTAGCATGTTACGTTTGCGAGCTGAATGAAACAATTCTCTCATGCTTCTATATATTTATAAGTCCCGTTTTTCCCTACGACCGTATTCTGTGCAACATCACCTAGCCATCAAAGGTCACACGGCATCTTTTTCTGTTTAGTTTGCGCAACATAACCTTGATAGCCACTATAACAAGAATACGCATGGCTTTCTGTAATGAATAGTGAACAATCACAACAGTAGAATATACCCGATTATGTGCTTCTTTAAATGTCTCCTACCTGTCCACATGCATCTTCCAATCAATATGCGTAAAGCATTTATGCTATGTCCATCTATTCACGACATCTTTCTGAGACAATTCCAGTGAAAAAATGGATATGCGATATTTTAAGGAATCCCTAATAGCATTGGACTGACGGTGGATGAGGAATGAGGGAGTTTTCCACTCAATTAAGCTGGGCTGCGGCAAAATAAAGTAACGACATTTAAAGTCATTTGTTTCTTTCCTTCTTGCATGATATACAAATGAGTGTTGCTTGCCTAGCATTTGGAATAAATTCTGAAAAATCGCTATATTGTTTAGTTATTTATGGTGATGATGATCAGCGTGAACTGTCACGTAGTCGGACCTATTAAGAGAATTTCGAAATCGACATTTTTAGCATCTAACTCTAAGTTTAAATTAGTAAAGTAAAATCACTGCGATTCGAAAATCTGCTTTCAATAATGACCCACGTGGAGGAACAAGAAATTTAAACTGATAGATTTCAATAAGAGAGAAAAGGAGGTCTGGCGCTCTTCAAAACTCGTTTATAATCCCAGATCTGGCAACAAAAAGCGACTACAATTTGCGAAAGTTCATCTGCTCTGCTCTTCAAAAGCGATAAAGGAGAGAGAGAGAGAGAGAGAGAGAGAGTGCTTCTAAGCTGTAATTAATACTTTATCGCGTACATGTACCTCGATGGTCGGTGCTATTTAATAACTATTTTCAACAAACTGCATGCAATAGCGTCAGTTTTTATCAGACTGCAGTAAAAAACGTAATAATGGTTTTGAATCATGCAAAGAACAAAAAACAACAAAAAAAAAACAAAAAAATCGCAGACTAACGCATATTTATTCAACATTTTTAATCGTAAATACCAAGAATTGAAACTTGATGATAAATTTTTATATGGAAGTTACTGTGTACATCAGAGTTGAGTAAAAATATATCTTACACATACACACACGCACACAAGCAGTTCTTATATCACCGATAACAAAATTTTTTTTTTTTGTTTTGTTTTTTTAAACTTTCCATCGAAGGGTTCTGCCGGTATATCAGATTTGTTCGTCCACTTGAAATGCGCGAAAACAAAAATCAACGATATTCATAATACATATTCGTTCTCAATTTACCGCAAGATTCCTTGGGTAATTTGGGCAAGTTCCTTTGTTTGTCCGTGTGTCATAGGTTTCTACGTAACGTTACTCTAGTTGTCTTACTTTTTCATTTTAAGAAAATCATGTTCTTTAATCGTGGACCAAATAGTCGTAACCCGTCCACCACTCGAAACGATTTCGGAGTGAGTCTACAAAATGTGAATATGTCAGGCGATTAATGGAACTCATTTTTACATTATTCGTGTGGCTGACCAACAAGGTCGAGTTTTGGACAATTTCTAGCCTATTTTGGACATGGAATGTGTTCATCTTTTTCGGTAGTGTGCATAATGATATCAATGTATTTAATTTTAGCAAAAGTATGATTGATCTTTTGATCTTTTTTTTTTTTTTTTTTTTTTTGAGTGACCAATCACTCAATCCCCTATTCGCGTCACACGATAACGGTTAGAAGGAAGTGAGGAAGAAGACAGAGATTGCGTGGCCGTGACGGCAGCCTAGTGGGTGTGTGTCCAATCTGTAAGTGTTATGCCTTTAACGACTGACCACGAACTGTACCTGCGACCTCTACCGCAATGAGATTTCAATGCGCGAACACTGGCTTAATAGTCGCGATTCTTATCTACTTGGCTGGGCTACGCATTCATTGATTATGCCTTCTCGCAGAGACGTGTCCAGGGAGCATTTCAACGTAAACGCTTTTAGAGTTTCCCTTGGCGGCATTACAAAGGATTATCATTTTTGAATAAATTCCTTTATTTGCCTCCTACTGCGTGTGTTAGTCGTTTTTTTATGTTTATCTTACAGTCGTGCTCGGAAGCACTTCAATGATATCGAAATTGATTTCTTTGATGCTATTCTAAAGTACAATTTGATTCTTTAAGTGACCGTTGCTTTAGAGATAAACAAAAAATGAGAACTTAAACTGGGTTAATTATACACTGCTAGCTAGCTGGCTATCTAGCTAGACAATCGTTATCCTATGAAATATATAAATGTAATAACGCAGAGACTTCCTGTGGAGTGGTCTCTGCTATGTAAACACAAACAGTTTTTTTTTTTTTTTTTATCTCAAGCGTATTGAAATTCTTACATAAATAAATACTGTTTTGAATACATTGGGAAATATAATCTGTTTACATGTTTATCGTTTTAATATTTAACCAGTAGCGGATCGAAATGGAAATTAAATAAATTTAACAGATTTGTTTTTTTTTTTTCCATATGATTGAACTGCTGTTTGCCGAATTTATCTTCTTAATGAAATTGTTTGTAGAGATATGCTATTATAAATAAATATTTGATTTTGAATATTTTTTGCTTGATGATCACCATTTGGTTTTATTCGATCATACATAAAAAAAAAAGAAGCAACAACAATTCTAATTAACCTCATTTACCATAATAATAATAATAATACGTGAGCTTAAAGCATCTTATGCATGCTTCATTACCGTTTCCAGAGCTTGCTGCCAATACACGCATTACCGCAAGACACATGAAAAAATTGTTATTTAGAAAAAGATTAAATTAAAAAAAAAATAAAAAAAAAAAAAAATGGAAAACACCCATATCCGTTGGGGATTTGCAAATTTTCGAAACTGTTTACAAAATGAAACGAATTCACAAATAAAATAAATGGGTTTTTAAAATGAGTTTATAAGTAAATAAAATTCAAGTAAAAAAAAAAATTGAAACAATTTCTCGTAATGAATACTTCATACTCAATCAAGGTGGCAGGGAATATCAACAAAAAAGTGCTTACATCTCTTTTATCGACACTAATAAGTCTTTCCTTTCTCTCTAGGTTCTCTAGGACCTAGCTTATCAGTTAGGGAGTTACAAAAAGTGATTTAGAAAACCGTTTCTTTGCCATTTTGATTATCTTGATTATCTCGTTAGATCCACCGAAAGTTCTCCGCTAGGAGTTCGTATTCTCTGAATGTTAATTCGATTAGAGGGAAAGCCTGCTTGACATCGGAAAACAAGTACAAGTACTCAACGAGGAAGAAGGAACCACAAGCTGAGCTTCTTGGCCTTATCTGGAAAGTTTTACCCTTGGAAATTCCTGGTCAGTGTCGCTGGCTCATCGTGTTGCGGGCATAGGCCAAGAATCTTTATCTTTTGTCCAACCAAAGCAGAGCAAAGAACATATTCGGTCGATCGAACAGAGACATTCGAGAAAATTTATGCTATGATATTTTTGATACGGTTACGAAATCCTACCTAATTCTACCACATGGGCGTCGAGAGACTTTACGATTGTCTGCAAACTTCTGCCGGATTTCGCCGCCAGAAACTAGAAGCAAGGAACAAAAATCAGAGATGTGAGTTGCTTCCCTCTATTCCTTCTACTTAGACAAAACATATGTCTCTTGCCTGTGCAGTGAAGTAGATGCCGCAAATCAGATTAATCCGATCCTGCCTGCCATTGCTTCAACATTTACAAGCGTAGCTATGGCTAATCTTCAAACTTTAAGCCTTATTCGCAAAACTAAACGTAAAAGGATTATCATTACAGGAAGTTTGTCGGTCATAAAGGCTCTTCGAAGTTGAAATATCATCGGCCGTAAAATAAAAATTTTTGAATACAAAGTCATATCGGTCTCTTGAGAAATGAGCGAGCAAACCTAGCAGCTATGGCCGCTGTTTCGGCGCCATGAACTACATCACAACGCACAGTGAAAAATATTGACTTTCAAGAATGTGTTATATACTTCCTACTTCCATCCCCACTAGTCTAATGTTACTTCTAATTTCGTTTCATTGCTATGTGCAAACGAGGGCGGTAATACTCTTAGTATTGCAATATAACCAATGGATTTTAAAGAAATCTATTCCTGCCATTTCGATTCGTGTATGTTTTTCAAAATTCAAAGATTCCTACTTAGAATGTCTAAACGTGCGGACGTTTTGAAAGTCCCTCGAGACATAATTTCAATTAAGTAGTTAAATATTATTAAACTGGCCGGGACCCATCGTTTCATGGATTCTTATTAAAAAATGGAGCCGGTAGTCTTGGTTGCCAGTGCTCATTCAGCCTAAGTCCTCGCATTTATTTCTTAACTTACACATAGTGTGGTGTGGAAATAAAACATAAGCTCGGCTCTACACATGTTTTCGCCGTTAGTGAAAGCGACCCCATTAACACGTTCTAACAATATAGTCCATGCTCTTCAGCTTAGGAGAAGGAACCTTCTTCTAATAATTTTCAGGTAATTGTACGATATCCACGCTCAGTTGGCGACTAATTGAGAAACATGTGAAGCAGTCATAAAGTCGTAAATATAAACATAACTCCACACATACATGCATACATGCATTAATTGATCTTCCGGATCTGACCTTACTCTTATTTGCCCTTCTATTTGCTATCTCTCCTTCGAGTTCAAGTATTAGTAATGGAAAGCGTAGACTTACATCAAACCTACAGATCGAATTTAAAGGCTGGCATGAGGCGCCCAAAAGCATGGTGAACATAGCAAAAGAGAAAACTGTAGAAGAAGAGAACTGAGAAGAATGTAGAAGAAAGAATTTGAAGAACACATTGACCTAAAATTTTGCACACCACAGTTCAGAGTTGCATTGCGTTTACAGGTAAGGAAATAAGTTCACTTACACTCGTTCACTTGACGAAAAGTGCTTTAGCTTCTTGTACATATTGAATGAATTGTCCAAGGGTATCCAGAATATACCTTAAATCTAATACACTTACAATTCCTGACTTGTTCTCTTTATTTATCGTATTAGATTTCATTTTTTCAAAATTACTCACGTCATTGAAAAAACTATTAATTTATTTATTTTTAATATTTATTTAAATGCTGTTTTTCGGTCATACAATACCATTTAGAAACATTCTTCGACTGTCAGCTTGTGCGCTATATGCTGACAATAGCCATTATATGCAGACCAAGCTTTCCAACCTTGTCGTTGTTTAACCGTTTGAGCACACTCTACTGCCGCGTCAATGTTATCGGTTAAGAGCTCTTGGCAAATTTGATGGCACATATTTGCCGAAGGCCTAATAGAGCTCGATGTGCACCAATAGCGATCGCTAACTTGAAAAAGTCCAAAATTATTCGACCATTTGCCATTTAATTGCCCAATAGCTGATGTGTTGAGTTTACTTTCGAAGCGTGCAATGCAAGTCCAAGTCGCCAGATCAGATTTTTCGATGCCCAATTGAAACATTTCGCGGGCCAATTCGCAACGTGTTAAAACACGTCCATCCACCACTGCCACCAAAGCCAAACCCGTTGATTCGAATATTAATAAAATTGCGTAGAAATAATAATGAAAAGAACGCATTGTTAGGTATTTGCGTTCTGTCACTTTTGAGGCACAACAGCAAAATAACAGAACGAATCTTATTCAATATTTGAACAACACCTTTAACAAATATTTTTACTGCTAACAATAATAATAATAATAATAATAATAGTGGAATGAAAACAAGTTCTCAAGCGGTTTGTCGTCCAACCCATACAATGGCTGACTTTTTGAAAGTTAAATTTTCTTCTTTTTTTTTTTTTTTGTTTTGTTTTTTATTTGCACGAAATCTTAAAATGTTTGTTTGCCTATTTGGAATATTTTTAAGTGAAACAATCATCGATATACTCCAAAGTTCTATTACTGCAATACTCATTGTAGACTGCCCAGGCTGACCACCCTTGTTGTTTTTGTATATAACGGGCACAGCGCACGGCGAGTGTTATATCGTCCGACAACAAGTCTGAGCAATTGAGATTGCAACCGTTGTAAATAAAGTAATCGGTTCGATTTTCAGGTTTACACCAATACTTGTCGCTTATTTGGAAGATGCCATAATCGTTGGAACCGTCCGCATTGCGTGCACCGATTACATGCGTGTTAAAGCGGCTTTCGTATTCAGCTATGCACAGCCATAACGGTAACTCCGATTTTGGTACATCCAATATGTATAGTTGACCGGCGAATTCGCAACGATGCAGACTGCGCGTCTGCACTCTGCTTGGCCATCGTAACACTAACAAATACAACGTCATAAATATGCAAATATTTCTTAAGAAACATGTTTGCGTTATTTTTAGCATAAATGTCACCATTGTTTCGCTATATTTAATTTATTTATTGTTTTACTCAATTATATCACTTTTTTTTTTTTATGAATGAATTTGTCTGCCGTCTAACGTTGTTTTTAAGGCAAAGACACGTTTGAATGTTCAAAGTTATTTTACGTACTATGAACACGTTTTGCATTCAATTAAACTTTGATATAATCTTCAGCTAGACAATGTTTTTTATACTCGATCATTGTAGTATTATTATTATTATTACATATATTAATTACAAATGACGGCAGGCAGACAACTTTCAAATATTTATGATAATCTATTGCGGTAAATGTTTTGTACATTTTTCAATAATCATTGAGGAAGTTTAATAAATTTGTCATTCCATTTGTAACCGACACAAATGATTATCGGAATGAGTAGATATTATCTTGATTGAACATTCACTTCGCTCTGCTTTGGCCCATCTAATGGGTAGCTTATGAGTTCTCGGTTGCATTTTCTTTCCTGTAAGGAAATTCGTGCAAAGAGCAATTTTTAAATAACGTTGTAAGAACGGAAGTCCTGGCCGGGTCGAACATGGGGACTCCTTAGTAGAAGCGCCTTCTAACGAGTAGAATAGAAAGGGCAGCACTTTGCCGCATCTAATGTTTCCTAAGTGGCTTTTACAATATGAATACCGAGCATCATTTTATTGAGAAAACTCTTTTGGAAATTGTGGCTCCGTTCTTAGCTATTGTTGGCCTTGAAGTAGCTCGTAGAATATTCTGAACCCAGTTAGACGGGCTCATAAAGACCTCGGGGGTCGTGTATATTTTGTTTCATTGGTGATATTAATGTTCTCTCGTCGCAGGAATCACGAGGCCTTACGAGTTTTGCCAATCTTCTAACAAGTAAATCGATCTCGTTTCAGCTCCTAAAAGACACTATGCTATGTGCACGAGACGTAAAGACGTAAAGATAGTACCTTGACATAGAGAAGCTTAGTGTTTTGGCTAACTCTACGAGATTTCGAAATCATTCACACCCATCCATATAGTAATTATTACAAATTTCATTAATTAAAGATTCATTGCGAGAATACTCTTCAAAATTGCATGCTTCCACAACTCTCTCTCTCTTGACGAGTGTCTGTGGTTCGTTCTATGACGTATGTAACTTTCTTACATAATTTAAAATATTAAACAATAGAATTATTTGCAAAAAATTCTGACTACTCTTAAAGCATAAAAAACTGGTTTTTCTGTAAATATTTTCAATGCTTTTTTTAATTGTTTATGATTTACGTAAAGTAGAATCGTTTTAGAATGTTTTCTATGGTTGAACTACTTACTGTCTTCAAAAAAATGCAAATGGATTGTAAGTTCATTATAAAGTAAAAGGAAGCAAGAGAAAAACATGAGAAACGAAGCAGATAGGCGAAGGGGGCAAAAGTTCACTTTTTCAGTTCCCTAAAATATTGTTAATCCGGGTGGAAAATTTGTTCGAAATTAATTACAACTTCCAGTGTTGAAAAAATGGAGTATGACATTTAAAATTCGCCTTAACCTAAGCTCGGTAAAGACGCGTCTTGCAAAGGTTCTGACTGCTTTGTCTGCAGTTGCAATATGAGTATGGCTTTAATGTGCAACGTCATACCAAATTATTGCAGAGATGCATTCCATGACAAGTTTTGCTTAAAAAAGTCAAATTCGCCTACAATATGTACATGGAACATGGTGAACTATTTTTCGTTCTTTTCTGAAAATGGATTTCGGATTTTCACTCTGCCGGCTAGAGAACGGTTTTAGTAATCAACTAAGAAAATCATCTAAAAATTTAATATGAAAATTCAAGTCATGGCCGGCCAACAAACTTTGATTTCCATTTGTTAAGGTGGGTGTGGTACGCACTCGCCTAAATTTTTTATTTTTTTTTTTTTTTACTTATTAATTTTAATTTAAAAAATCATTCTCTTTATACCAATGATTTCGTCAGACGGTTTTATGGGTTTTTTCTATACATGTTCCAAAATGATCGATGCTGACAACTTTTATGCTATTATTATAGCGAACATCACCACAAAATCCCTCATTAACAAAAATAAATTTTTTTATATAATTTATAATTTTTATAAATGTTTTTGTATACCGCTAAGATGTGATTGGGCGCTCAGCTTTTCCGTGTGAGAAAACAACAACTTGTGTGTGTACGCATGCAAATTGAAATTTATCATATTTTGCCAGCTGCACCGTAACTCTCACTATATAATATACATATTTATTTATACGTATACTTATGTGCTGTGATATGTGTATTTAGATAAACTTCAGATGTATATTTGTAATAGACATCGTGACTATGCAGAGGGCCAATGTTCTATGTAATTCATTGAGATAATAAATTACGCGGCCATAAAATAGAGAAGAAAAAAATTTCAATTTCATTTTATTTTCTCCATTCTTCGTTAAGAAATTTATATTCTTACATTGGAGATCAATTTTAAAGCGAGGTCAATATGTAGTGAAGTGTATAGGACTTGTGTTAATTAGTTTATGAATATGATAATAAAATCTTTTTAAAAAGTATTCTATGGATCGATCTGTTTTTTGGAATCGGTTTACCATCAATTAAAAAACAAAAAAAATGCTTATTATATATTTGTTTTTAGTCCAAATTATCCGTAATCCACTTCAGCTTTGAGTTGCGCTCAGTTGTTCAGTTCAGGTCTTTATACCCTACACAATATGTGCTAGAAGGGTTTTTGTCGAATTTGTGCGGATGTATACAAAGGACTTGACATAGACCACAACATTTCGTCTTTTGCAATGATTTAAGCTTGTCTGTCCGTCAGTCCGTCTTGTTTTTTGCTGCTCAACCTATAGGTCGCAATTTTTTAGAATTTTTTTGATGAAATATTCTAAATCGGCAAGGACAAAGGCTACTGGCTATGGTTTTTCAGTCACTTCCCATATGAAGCGTTATTTTAAAGAGCCTTGATATAAACAACAATAAGAATGGTTTAAGGTTATTAACGATGGGCTCCTTTTCTTGTTTTTATTTATAAAATATATTGAATTTTAATGAACGGGGTCAAGATCAAAGGACTTTAGTTCTCAAATTTGATAATACAAACTCTAATTTTCTTAATTTCATTTGTACATTTTTTTTTATTTAAATAATAAATTTATCTCTTTGTTAAGGTAGAAATGACCTTAGAACTATAGAAATTCATTAATGATAGATCAATCAGTTCCCTAACTTTTCAAGTACAAGCTTTTGAAAAGGAAAAATAAAACTTTTTTTAGAGTATCCCTTTGATCATATTCCCATATGTTCGAATTTTCCATCTAACACCAAAAACTAAAAAAAATTCTTCAAACCGTTCAGATACTAACCTTGAATATTTCACGTAACAGAAAATAAATGGAGAGAAAGATTCGCAAGGTAGCCTTTTCCCTCAAGAGCGAAACCCACGATTAGTTGAATGGCACGCCCACAGTTAATCAATACCAAAATTTTATTACAACATAAATATCGACCCTTTCTTTTTTGTGAAGGTCTTGGAATCCATTTCTGCGCGCTCGTTCTCGATCGATATTTTTATGTAGCTCACAGGTTTGTTGCACATATTACACTCTCCACTGTGAGTCCTTACGTGAAAAATAGCTAATTTCCGCAGGTGCTAACAGATATTGTTTGTTTTTTATTGCGTGTACGAATAAGTCTTGAGAACTTTCTTTCGTTGACTACGACTTCTCTTCACCTTTCAGACAATTTTCGATATCCATTTCGAAAAAAGGCCTTTTTAAAGGCGCTTCCTTTAAAAAACCAGTATTTGAGTGCCGCCATAAGAAACGAAGCACTGTTTGAACAAATAATCAATCATCTATTAAAAGCTGCTGGTACCAGTGGGCAAGACAGAACATTTCGTATTATAATTGCAAATATTCCCTGAGCGAGTTTTACTCCACACATTACGCAAATTTTTTACCGTAATTGCATCAGTTCTTGTTCGCAGTGTTTCTCACTGGTGATTTTATTTGTTTGGTGCAAGCTTTCGTGCTGTCCGTTCAGGTGTATCCTTCAAATGGGCCTATTTGGGGTATTTAGGTTAGGTTAAGTTAGGTTAGGTTATTTGGGCTTTGGATATTGTAGCGCATTCACTTTTCTTCACTCGTAAGGATTTAGCCGCTCTATCCTTCGAGTTAATTAGGAAAAGTAAAGTTTTACGCAAATTTCAATTATTTTAACGCAAAGCTTCTTAACATCTATTCGAAACTCTAAGAAACGATGCTTTGTGCATGCTGTTGTGTGACAACTGATGCAGTTTTGTGCAGCTTGAAGACATTACTTTCGAACGAAGAAGTCATCGTTTTATTCTATACACTACAGAAGTAATCACAAACTGTCTTATTGAACCGGGCTGAACTAATTTATACTCTCATTATATAAAAGATAGTCGTTTTTGCGATTTCTTGTAATAGCTGAACTTTAGACTCAAGTTCATTTCTCGTAAGCTTTCATTCCTTTGCGAGACAATTTGTGAGCGTCTATCCACCTGTCACCTTCTGCCCCTTCTTAGTCCAGATTAAGGTTAAAAATGAACATAATCCATCTGCAAATACATCTGCAGTACATAGAAAAGCATAAACTACCCTACCACCTTTAAGAAGCATTGGATCGACCTACATGCAACTATCTCTTATTGTACTTAAAATTTTCATGTATTCATTTCATATGCTGTATGTCTAAGTTCCCTAAGGCCAAGAGAGAATATTATGTGTGTGTGTTTTTTTTATGCCATTTGTGACGGAAATTTCCTTTTTTGCTTTTATATAATAATGACACTTAAAGTATAAAATATTTTAATTTATTCGTTATTCGTTATACTTTTCTTTCTTTTTTTTTCTTCTCTATTTCAAAAAGCAATGCTCGCAAAAATGCCAATGTATTGGAAACCAAGTCAAGACATTCAATAAAATATCTTTTTGATCCTATTAAGCAAATGCAGTAAAAGTTCAAGCTACGAAATGATTTCTATTTCCAAAAAAAAAAAACCAGAAGCTTGATACTAGCATATCTGTATACTTTATATAGTCTTTGATTGAAGCATCTTTTCTTTTTTTTTTTTTTGTACTCACTAATAACAAACAAAGAGACGTTTTTGTGCGCATATGGTAGTCTTTGAATTCGTCTAATTTCCGTTACGTAGAAATTAATTTCGTTTGAGTATCTTTCAAATGTAAATTTTCCATTAAAAAAATGGCTACAGCTTCATAGTGCAATTTATAAATAAATGAATGAAAGAAAGAGAAAAATTTAAATAAGAAGAAAAAAACAAACCTATAACCTATTAGTATAAATTGTCTTACAAAGAATCCACTTGTGCGCTCATCTACAGCACTTCTCCATACAGTAGTGCGCAAAAACACTTGTCGAAGAAAAATATATACGCATTGCTGACTATTAGTGCTGACATAGAAATCCCGTCATTCCCTCGGTTATTTTTACACTCATCACTGAAGGCAAGATGATGGATATACTTATTTCGTCAAAACGTTTGCAACATGCAGAAGGCAGAAGCCTCAGAAATGCTATAAAGTATCAAATTCTGAACCAATTTAATTATGTCCGTCGGTCCGTCTGTCTGCATATTATTTACTGTAAACATTCTTGTGGCAGCAAAAGTGAAGAAGTCGGTATTGAAAATATGGGCCCAATTGAGGGAAGCACACACCTACAGTATCACGCCAATTATTTTTCAAAAGGAGAAAAAGCTGACCTTGTGCTCATTACTCACAAATTGCAGCAGATAAGCCTATAAAAATTTGACGTACCTTCTCAGGGCACAAAAAATGGGAAAATTTATTGTCACATCTATCCAAAATTTGTGATGTATCAATCTTTTTTTGTGAAACTCTTTATAACATCCAAAAGCAAGCAGGAAAAATCCCATAAAGTACACATATATTTACACATATACACACTTTACCGACCAGTGTTAAATTGGCATGCATCTAAGCATGTCCATCCATCTGTCCAACTACGTAGTCATTCTCCTGTTTGCGAAAATAAAGATATTTTGCTACAAATTTGCCAAAATAATTGAAAATAACACAAACCGATCAAAGGTCACGCCTACAATACAACACAAACTGATGGCACTTTTGCTTTTTCTAAGCGTTATGCTCGTTGCTCACTCACTACATTCGTCAGACTGTAAAAATTTTCACTTTTATTTTACAAAATTTTGGATTTTTTTAGGATAATATTAATGATGGGTATCAAATATTCGGCCATATCCGAATATAGTTTTCTTCTTGTCTCTAGGAGCTATGTAGAATTTTCAATCTATTTTGCTTTAAGGTCTTTTGCCCTACTTGGTGGATTGAATAGACCTAACAACCGGTTAACTTTTTTGAAGAAGAATTTCCATATTTCGTTTTTTTTTTTTTTGAGGAAAAACTAAATTGAGATAAACAATGGTATTCGATGTTTCCATTGGTGGTGTCACAAAATAAAAGCAGCTTATGAAAATGGAGATTAGCAAAAATTCCTAATAGCGAATAAAAGTAGAAGTCGGAAAGGTAATTGTTATCTGTCAAATGCAATCAGTTCAATTGTGTGTGCGTACATATGATAATAGGTTCCTTTAACTCTGTCAACAAGTTACTTAAAATTTTCCTAAACACTTTCTCTTCTTTAGTTTAGTTTTCATAAGCAAAAAGAAGTGATAAAGAAAGATGATAAAAAAAGATTTTAATTTCCATAAAACGGAAGGCTTTTCCATGAATAATGCTTATCGCTATGAAGTGTGATGTGCAGATAGAATGCTGTTTCCAACTTAATTTCAATATGATAAGCAGTTGAGAAGACTTTTCGTGCACTTATCTTAAATGTCAAGCTATCTTACTTTCACTTACATCCCAATGCCTATCCCTTTTAATCGGAACTTTTCACAAGAACTTCCTAAATCAAAATCATTGCGTGGAAGGTGTTTAAGAATCATTTACGTATTCTTTTTAAATTTACCTTTAATTCTTTAAAACTATTCCTTCTCTCAATTTTGTATCAATTTTTTTCCCCATTACTATACGAATGATGAATGTGTTTGGTTGTGGTGGTCGTTTATTTCTTTAGAAAAAAAAGCAATGCCTTACAACAATGCCATTATGCTCTTCCTTCTATACATATATACATATATATATATGTACGCGTACAGGGTTCACGTTTTATAAAAAAAAAAATAAATAATAATAATTGTCACATGGGGTCACTAAGACAAGGAATGTTCTTCATTTTGTTACGTGCTTTCATTTTTAATTTTAACACAATTAATTTTTGCATAGAATTATGAAGGAAGTACGAACTAGAATGACATTTTTTTTTTTTTTAATTAAATAAAAATTAAAATTCTTTTGCCATTTACAGCACCAGTCCGGGCACGCTACAGGATGTTACAATGGATAATTCATGTAAGTATTTTAATCGCTTTAGTTTTTAGTCGTAGGTATAGTTTTCATTAGATGCCGACTAAGACATCCCGAAGAGATTTAGTGAGTCCCATTAATATTGGGTTTTTTTCGCCCAACAAAAAAAATAAACGTTCTTTTCCTAGACTTAGGAATGAACATTAAAATATAAAAAAAAAAACAAACAAAGCATTATGCCAGTAGATAAGAAAACTAAGTAACTTCAACCACTTCAACAAATACAGTGTCACTAATACTGGTATTTTTTTTAATATAAGGAATAGAAGCAAAAAACAACATATTATTAAACATTTATAGTTGGAGAGTATCCTCTTTGCTTAAGACGTTTTGACATGTTTTGTATAACTTTTCTTTTGTACGAAACAGGGATCTTCTTCCATTCCTCTTGTAGTCTCTTTTTCAGGTCATGGATGGAAGGGATGAAGTGTTTTCGCACATGGCGATCTAGTTCATCCCACATTTATTTGATTGGGTTCATGCTTGTTGATTTGTGGAAGAGTATGCAGCACTTTGGGGCAGTTATATAAGAGCCATTCTTGAATTAAGCGGAACTTATGCTTGGTAGAATTTGAATGTTTCCAATATATCGAGCTGATCCCCACTTTCTTTCAACTTTCCCTTGAATATCCTTAAATAACCCTCCTTGTTTAGAAAGCCATCTACAAACATCAATTTTCCGACTCCATGGGCTCCAATGGAAACTCTAACAAGGTTATTGCCATGCTCGCCGTAAGACATTGGTACAAGAACGTGATAGGAAGCTAAGACTAGAAAGATTAATTTTTAATAATATGCTGCTTGTTCTCTTCACATCCTTCCTTATATGGAAAACACCCAATATTAATTCAATAGACAACGCTATACCGTAGTACAATATATTCTAGTAGAAAATACACTATACTGTAGTACAAAGTATTTTAGTACAAAATACACTATACTGTAGTACAATAATTTTCAGTACAAAATACAATATACCGTAGTACAATAAATTCTAGTACAAAATGGACTATACTATAGTACGCTGTAGTACAGTAAATTCTAGTACAAAATGCACTATACCGTAGTACAATAAATTCTGGTACAAAATACACTATACTGTAGTACAACAATTTTCCGGACAAAATGCGCTATACTATTGTACACTGTAGTACAATAAATTCTAGTACAAAATGCGCTATACTGTAGTATATTAAATTCTAGTACAAAATACACAATACCGCAGTACAACAATTTCCTGTACAAAATGCACTATACTATTGTACACTGTAGTACAATAAATTCTAGTACGAAATGCACTATACTGTAGTATGTTAAATTCTAGTACAATATACACTATACCGTAGTACAATACATATCAATACAAAATGCAATATACTGCAGTACACTGTAGTACAATAATTTTTAGTACAAAATACACTATACCGTAGTACAATAAATTCTAGTACGAAATGGACTATACTGTAGTACATTGTAGTACAGTAAATTCTAGTACAAAATGCACTATACTGTAGTATATTAAATTCTAGTACAATATACACTATACTGTAGTACAACATATTTCAATACAAAATGCACTATACTGTAGTACACCGTAGTACAATAATTTTCTGTACAAAATACCATATACCGTAGTACAATAAATTCTAGTACAAAATGGACTATACTGTAGTACATTGTAGTACAGTAAATTCTAGTACAGAATGCACTATACCGTAGTACAATAAATTCTGGTACAAAATACGCAATTTTCAGTACAAAATACACTATACCGTAGTACAATGTAGTACAGTAAATTCTAGTACAAAATGCACTATACCGTTGTACAATAAATTCTGGTACAAAATACGCTATACTGTAGTACAACAATTTTCTGTACAGAATGCACTATACTATTGTACACTGTAGTACAGTAAATTCTAGTACGAAATGCACTCTACTGTAGTATATTAAATTCTAGTACAATATACACTATACTGTAGAACAATATATTTCAATACAAAATGCACTATGCTGTAGTACACTGTAGTACAATAATTTTCAGTACAAAATACACTATACTGTAGAACAATAAATTTTAGTACAAAATAAACTATACTGTAGTATAATAAATTCTAGTACAAAATACACCATACAGTAGTACAATAAATTCGATACAATACAATAATAAATAAATAATAAATAAATAAAACACTTTACTGTAGTACAATAAATATTGTGTACTACACTTTGTACTATACTATACTGCAGTTAAAAAATCGTTAAAAATAGTTCTTTTGCATTTTTTTGGTGATTCGACAGGTACTTTTATGTAGATTTACGGGATATAGAAGAATATAATTAACATTTTCTACTTTGGGCGCACCAGACTCTCAAATTCGTGTGTCCTTCCATACGCGTTTTTCGCTAACATACCAAATTTCAAAAACATGTTAAAAATAGCTTCCATACGCAGAATTTGAATTTGTTCACTTTGATTGAAAGGTATTTTCATGTAGATGTTCACAGAAGTTTTTGCGTTGTTTAATATGGACGGTGTAGGCTTTTAAATCTACATAAACTATATCTTAATTTTAATTATTTAACAGAGCTCTCTTACGGCTTTAACAGAATATTTTTAACATATATGGTTGGGGTCTTTGCTAGTTAAATTCGAATTTATCTTCACACCCCTTAGAACCGGTAACAATTCAGCGATAGTACGCACGAAGACAACGGGCTTAGATTCGTCATTGCTGTACTGTCCCGTCGAAGTTTACCAATGGCAAGGTTACTACCTATTGAACATCCCTGTTTTAACGAATAGTTCAAATTCGCTCATCAATCACTCAATTCTCGGCTTATCGCATAATACCTGGGGTTAATATTAAATTCCATCTTTTTTCTCATTGTGTTACTGTAGCTCCAGACCATGTAAGAAATTGTCCTTTGAATATTCAAGAGGGCGTAATATTTATTCAACTGGAAAATGGATTGATTTGATAGCGAATGCTAACTGAAAAAAAAATGAGCTCTTACTTACTACTATTCATCGTTTCTAAACCCATAACGACCCTAGTCTTTTAGCTGCAGTGAAACGCAAAAAATTATGCAGAGAAGAGATAAGGCTGATATAAATTAATCTATAAGTATATTATATATAATAAAGTGATAGAAAAGTTTTAAATTCCGTTCCATTATTAGAACTGGAAATGGTTCTAATGAATATCTTTCCTAAACACGTTCTATGCTTAAACAAACGCAATGTGAAAGAATGAGAATACATACAACTAAGAGCAAGGAATTGAAATGATATGCTTCTATATATGTATTGTATTATGTCCGATTATAATCAGTCTCTAAAATTCAACATAAAATTTCCATCACTTGTATATAAACGGGTAACTATGTAAAATTGGCAAGAATTCAAAAACTGAAATCTAAATATAAAACATGCAATTAAGAAAATAATATGCGATTGTGCGCCGAATCTTTTATACCCTTAACTGTTATACTAAAAACAAAAAAACAAAAAAAGTGAAAGAATTAAATTTCCATGCTCTATAATATGGAGTGGGCGCTAACGGAAGAATGTTGGCCCCAAATACTACACAGTTGACCAGACGGACAGATGGACAAGCAAACATGTTTAGGTGCATTGCAAATTTCAAACTAAGCAAGAATTTATTAATTTTGTGAGATTTTTAAAAAAAATAATTTTGATACAATATAATATTGGGTAGGCGTGGTAAATTATATCCATTTTCGTACATGTGTTCAATTTTATGTACATTTACATGCTATAGTTTATGAGTAATGATCGAAAAAAGCAAGTTATTATTTCTTTTGAAAACCAGGTGGTTTTCTTTTGCAAAGACCTGTGGGCTAGTCGACTAAGCGCCCCATTTTCAATACCCACCTGTGTGCAAGAACTTCCAATATTTCTATCAAATGTGAAGTCAGTCGATGCCTTCATTTTTGCGGCCAGGGGAATGTTTACAACAGACATTGCACGGACGGGTAGACGAACATGCCCCAAGTCAATTAAGAATTTGATGCTGATCAAAAATACATATACATTGTAAGGCCTCTTATGCTTCCTCCGAGGCCTTGCAAAGATTTTAACAAAATGAATATACCCTGACCGTTCGCTAATGGCTGTAAAAAAAAAACACTTTTGCCTTAAAGCGAATCTTAAAGATGCGTTACTTTCGATGAATGTAAGAAGCTCGAAAGCTTTTCATTGACATGGGTGACAGTGTTGTTTAGCGGCAAAGCGAACTGTATGTACTGCGGGTCAGGGATCAGAGGCCCCTAAGCAAAATTTTTCAAAATCTAATATTTATGCAAAGTTTCTGTTGTTCGATGATCGCAACGTTAAAGAAAAGCAAGCATCAAATTTTCCAATAGCTTGACATCTGTGGATTAAACTTAAGAATCTGAGCACTAAGTTCCCCGTTTCTTGCGAAATTTCAATAATAATTTTTCCGGGCGATGAATGGAACGGCAAACGTACTGTGTTTAAATCGTTTGATATCTTATGTCTTCTATGAGTTGTAGAGTCTTGTAAATACATATCTTTTTCTTATGTCTAACGTAGTAAGTAAAGTTTGCAAACGAAATGAAGAAATTTATATATTCATCCTTTGATAGTGAGTGCAGAGGATTATGTACAGAAACAGCAACAACAGTTTTCCAACACTTATATTATGGCGTAGAGACTTTTTCATGTCATTGTTATACCCTACACCGCCTGTCTGTACAGGGTGTATTAATTTTGTTTGTCTGTCTCTCTGCGCGTCTGATGTTCTTGGGCTCCACCTAAAAATATTTTGATGGAATTTGGTACACTGACGTGTTTCTGCCTAAGGACGAAGGCGATTGAAAATGTTTCGGATCGAACTACCTTTCCGACCGTTTCCGAGTAGTTATACGCAGAAAAAATGTAATTTTCAATATTGCGCTACAAAATCGCTGAGTAATAGTAGTTTAGAATTTTAAATTGTTGTGAAAAATATAGATCGTATGGGGAAGCATTTTGAACCCTTTGCCGTAAAACCGTTCCTATGGAAACTTAACCTGTATATTGTAAAAAGGACTAATTTTTAATATTTCGTAACGAAATTTTGTAATAATAATTTGACAAAAAAGCCAACCCTACCTAATTTGGACCCTGTAGATCTGTTATTACGATTCCAGCACTTATAAAGGTTTTATTGAAAAATTAGGCTTTTTATGCGCAAAAAAGCGAATTTTTAATGTTTTTGCGATGCACATGAGTCCTTAGTAAATTAACCATAAGGAAATTCTACCACATAGGTCGGTTTTCTAGACCGCACCATGCAAAGGGGGCATCAATTCAAGTCTTTCTGTGACGACAAAGTCTAATTTGCGGCTTGTGGAAATGGAAAGTAGTAAAATCTTTGACAAGTTAATTAAATATATTAAATCTAGACCACTTTGAACTTGAAGAATTCTCCAATTTGATGGCTTTTATTATATTGATGTATTATTGAGAAAATGAGTGAATTGCTATATTAAGCAATGTGATGTAGAGTTTCTTCTCCCATTAGAAATCATGGGCCCAACTAGACCGTAGGTAAAGTAAGGTACAGAATGGCCCAGAACTTACGATCAATCCTTTCGATAAGTAGGTTTCGTCCGTCCATTTATTCCTATAAAAGTGAAGCAAGCGACTGCTGTGGAGTATGAGTGGGACGAAAATTTAAAACCGCCCATATTGCCCGAAGTAGTTAGCTCAGCAAAGGTACATGCGCCCGTCTCATATAACTTCCAATTCTTCCAAGAGTCGCTTAAGATGAGCCCTAAAAATAATAAGATCAGTAGTTCGATAGTTAGACGGACAGGTAGGATTTACACACATAGCCGTTACAAAATGGTCGCCCTTGCCCGACTATAACATTCTTACTTGCATATCATAAGTTTTATCTCGCATGAGATTGTATTCAACGCGCATTGATCTACAGGTTTCAAATGATTGAATGCTTGTGCGTGCACCTTTTATCCTTCGAGAAATTCTCTTCGAATATATATATATAAATTTATTTACATTCGTCCTTCCCCTAAGTGTTAAATTGTCATCATGTTCCTCTATCAATATGTATATATATATATATATGTATTGCGTCGATTTGTAGTCGAAAAAAACAATTTAGTTTTGAAAAACCCTTTAGAATGAGAAAAGTCAAAATAGTAAAAAAATATATACACATATATACACAGATGTAAATGTACTTCTTTTTTAAAATCTTCAAATAATTTCGACAAAATTTTCCTATAAGAACTATTTTAAAAAATTGACCCAAACCAAACGCAAGGACGCGCCTAAAGAGGACGGGAAGGAAATACCTGGTTAAAGAGAGAGAGAGAGAGAGAAAGAAAATAAAGATAAAAATGCGTAGAAATTCAACTCTATTGGCTACCAGCAACAGCAATAGTCGATCTACGATAGGTAGTGGCATCAATGGCAATAACACCAACAACAACAACGCCAATAGCAGCAATACGAGGGAGAGGGAACAAATTTGCTTAATCAACTCCAACTTTCAATCGAAATATAGTGACTTTGATTTTACGATTGAGGGTATAAGTCACCGATTAATGGAAAATATATTAAGAAAAACACATTTATATACATACCTTATACATATATGTATGTATATATATATATATATATATATTCCTTTTCAGATGGCGTTGGTTATCGTTCCCCATGCGTTAGTTTGCAACAATATCAAGGTAACACCTCGCCAGCGGTTCAAGGGCGCTCGGTGCGTGAATTCGAAGAACAAATGGCCAATTTACGGAAGGAGAATTTTAATTTGAAATTGCGTTTGTACTTTATTGAGGAAAGCACTCCCGGTTATCAACAGGTCAATACACCAGAGGGTCAAGAAACACTTATGAAGCAATTAATCGATGCCAAAGTAGAAATAGAAATTTTGCGTAAAGAGGTGCAAGAAAAACAGGAGATTTTAAAAGAGGCTGCCCAAGCCATGAATCAAATGGAGAAAATACAAAAAGATACGGAAAGCAAGTATCAAGAAATTATCGAGGAGCTGCAGCAGAAAATCCAGTACATGGAAATGGAGCGTGCGGTAGAAAAGTCACCATCTAACAACGAATTAATGAATGATTTGATGGGACGCTTGGACATCTCGGAAAGCGTGAATACAACACAAAAAGTTTGTATAATTTTTTTTGCTTTCATTTCGTTTATTTATATAATAAATTTTTACATAGAATCTTGTTAAAGAGAGTTCTACGACTAATCAAAAATATTTTCTCTCATCTTTTTTTTTAATTTTCAAATAAATAATAAACAGATACGAGAACTGGAGGGTTTACTAAAGCAAGCAGAAGTAAAATTGGTAGATGTGCAAGGCAGAATGACCAAATTGGATGAGATATTGGCGCAACGTGATGAAACCATTAAAGAATATGAGGATAAAGTTAAGGAGCTGGCATTTCAGAATGCGGAACTCTTGGAAAGCATTGAAACGAAAGACAAAGAGTTGGCCAATGCAGAGGTAATTTTTGAAATATTTTTTCATTTTACAAAAGGAACGGCGATGGGAGATAGAGAGAAATAAAATAATATCATATCTATATGTATATGTATATGTATATATATATATATATAAAATTTCTTTTTTATAAACAAATAAGCGAACTTTACACGGCTTTCGTTTAACTAATGCCGATCTTAAGGCAGACAATGAAAGCTTGATTGCTGCCTTAAGAATTACCCAAGAGAATTTCCGCAAGGAAATGTCGAATATGAAATCTTATGAAAGGCAAATGCGCGAACAGCAAGACACTTTAAGTAAGATGCAAGTAAGTCTCTGCTAAAGATTCTACCAAGAAGCAGTGGTGGTGATGGATTAATAAAAATTATTAATTAATACTCATTAAGAAAGAGCAAAAGGGATGGGGAGGGTGAGCCCTTAAACTGATTAACTCCGTATCCTTTCATTTGAAATTTTAAAAAGTATTTTCTCATTTCATTTTCAAAATCAAATATCTATAATGCAATTATAGATCCGGCATAAAGAAAAATTTTACTTGCTTGCTTCTTTCCTTTTTCTCTTTTTTTTTTTTTTTTTTGTTTAATCTTTAGTAGGTGACCACCACTGTTTGTGAGCGTTTCGGAGATTTAGAAAATTAATTTATCGAATTTTTTTTTTTTTGTTTGTATTTTATTTCCTATTAAAGTCGACCATATCAATAAAATCTGCTAATGCTGCCCGTTTATTGGAACGTATTCAAGATTATGAGAAAATGGTGACAAAAATCAATATTGAACGTAATATCTTTAAACGTGAGAATCGCTTCTTTAGAGCCATAATTAATAAATTGCAATCGAATCAAAACGAATATTACTCGTTTGAGAAGGAGGAAATTTATCAAAAGTTTGGTCAATTGAATTGCGCCCCAGCGTCCACATCCCTAGACGAGAATAATTATTGCATTGAGAAAGAGCCAAGTAGTCATGGAGATTTTCAGGGCGAATATAAATTTAAGCATAAATTACGTGTAAATATTTGTAATAGCGGTTGTTTCCGAACATCATCTACCAGCACCAATGCCAATGACACCACCACCTTACCCACTGATGACGATATATTTGGACCAACCTGTTGTTCCGTACACTGCAATTTGTCAGTGGATGGGGGCACTAGTGATCAAAACCTATCCGCTAATACCGAATTAGTTGGTGATTATATAAAAAATTGCAAATGTGCTGGTAGCGGTGATGTTGTTAATTATTCGCTAAATCAAACATGCTGCGAGCCTTCCGAATTTCCTATACGTTATACGATAAGTGACGGTTTAATCGATGCCATAAACAAAACTAGATGCGATCATAATGACTGTTCGTCATCATCTTTGAATTCAATTCACAAATCGTCGAATGCCCTGCCATCTAAAAATGACGATTCTGATCAGGTTTTTTTGAAGGTGAGCTCAAAGAGAAGCGTTTGTAGTATCTTAATGTTAATCTCATGTAAGGCCGTATTACTTCTACCCACTTTTGCTGCAGGACAAAACCACAAGTGTACGAAAAAGGATACCGCATCAATGTCCGCATCAGCAACAGCAACAGCCGTCCGGGAGTTACAAAGCCATCGATGGCGTGCGTTTTACATATTCAAAATTTGGAAATTTTCACTGAATATATTTTATGTATACATGTCACTGTACACAATTTACCTTGATGTTGGCTTATTGAAAAACACACAATCACTCGGCCGAAGACCACCATGGTTGTTGTTCTTCTTGCCATTATCATAACGCATTATTTTTTTATTTTTTTTTTTGCACTATTACGTATTCATGATGTATGGCAGGCTTATTACTATAATTTACTATAATTTTTTAAATATCTTATCTATTAATGATTATACGTGCGTATTCATGCAACCTATGTATGTATGTGTGTTCTATTTTATACAGTATATATATATATATTTTTCTTTTAAATTTTGTGAAAATTCTCCAACATTTTGTACTAATAAACGAAGAAGGTGATAAGGAAAAACCAAATCTAACTCTATCTAACTATTGCTCATATATATACATATATATATATTCAAAAAATTGTTAAAGCAGGAAAAGGAAATTATTATATTCTTATGACATTATATTTGCACTCGCAGATCTTTAATATCAGATCGCAAGCGCCCGTTCTATTATGAGAGTCAAGCGCCCTAGTTTCCATGCTATTACTTACTAAGTAGATATGTTGCTTGGTTGTGGCCGATTCCAGATTAAGTTCTGAATTAATTACTTTTTTATACCAATTTGTAAAGCAGAGATTTCGACTGCATTCCACATATCGGCGCTACTTGCCTACTAGGTTTTGATCAATAATGCCTGATGCCAAGGAAGAAGGCGTCTTTTTTTTTTTTTAGATCTCGTCTTCATTCATCAACCTTCAAGTGTGAAACAACCCCATGCGTCTAAAATTTCAATACCCTTTCGATTTTCGTAAGGCTCTCGTCATTTCATTCAAACCTATTTCCCTAGAGCAGCCTTTGCAGATTTGTGAACTGGTAGAACTCATTGAGAGGTCTGAAAGTGACTTGTGCTTGGTAGCACTTTCGCCGTTGTAACCATGGCGACGATAGGTTCACGCCACCACGGACACTCTGTTCGAAAACTGCTTCCTCGTGCTTAAATTTTGAAGCATAATGGTGATTACGCTGCTTTTTAATATCTTTAGCTTGCGGGCTATCTTTTGCTACTTCATTTTCTTAATAGAGAAAATAATTTCTAGAACTTTTCATACAATAGTCACTTGTCCATTTTGAACTTAGATATTACTGGCATCCATGCGACTTGGTTTAAAATCTACCGTTCCCCCGAAAAATTCCCACTTTCGATGGAAAAGAGTTATTATAACGCTTTTTCGGCCAAATTTTATTTTGAGCTACCCTTTCTTACCCTGTCTAAAGCACTTTTTGTTCAAAACTAAAAATTCGAAATTTTTAATTGTTTTGAAAATAGCAAAAGTAATGTGTTTTTGAAATTTTCTTACGTAGTTTCTTCATTTCTTTTGTGGAGACAGCATAGGTCAGTAAACGTTTGTCGTTTTGCATGCCATTCTCTTACTTAGCTTAAATCTGATTTCTAATGATTTTATTATTCGTTATAGTTAAGTGCATTCTGCATACATACAAATTCGTAAAGGTTTTCAGAATAGCATTACACTCATATTTTGAAAATCAATGGATTTTTGCAATAAAAAAAAGGCCAAAGCCTATGATGATTCCTTTATTATTCGCATAATTGATAAGAATACAAGATATTTTCTTCCCTTTCCTTTGAGGACAGCGTAACGATCAGCAGAGTTTTTCGTAGCTAATAATGTGAGTTCCATGCTTAGTGCACGCAACTTTTTAAAAACAATACACAGGTTGATCCTCCCGTTTCGTTCCATTGTCGTTCTCTTCTTTGGGTTCTCAAAATACTTCTAACACATATCTATATCGATTTCTCTCTTTCTCCAACCCTATGCCGTTAATGTATTTATTGAATTTAAAACTTCTAAAGAATCTCTTTGACTCTTGCATTTTTATTTTCTACAGGCTCTCAGAGATGAGTTAAAAGAACGTAAAGCAGAGTTGGCCGATAAGGTTTGCATCATAGACGAGTTACAAGATAAATTAAAGAATCTTGAAGTGATGTACCATAAAGCTCGACAAACCATCGAGAAATTAATGTATAGTCTAAAGCAAAAGGTAGACGAGAACGGTCGTCTGATGAGTAAAAATAATTCGACACAAAATGCCGCTAAAAACAGCAGTAAAGATATCGAAAAAGACATGACTGCAGCTAGTGAATGCTCTGGTTTTTGTGGTTCGGAGACTTATAAGGAATTAATTGCCGAGCAGCGTGATACAATTTCACATTTACGTGTGGAACTTGAAAAGTCCCAAGCAGAAATGGAAAGATCAGAAAAAAGACGTTTGGAATGGGCTGACGTTTGCTCGGTGTTGACTAAACGTCTCGAAGAGTTAGCCGATTTTTTGAACTCGCTATTAAATCACAAAGACGTCTTAGATGGTTTAGCAGCTGATCATCGGCGTGCAATGCGTAAAGCGATTGATCGCAGTTTAGATCTATCCAAAAGTCTGAACATGTCGGGTATATCGGTGAATGATCAGAGCTTAACTCAATTAAGTAATTTATCGGGTTGGTTGGATGAAGTTGAATGTCTGCAAAACTTGACCTTCAATACATATGAAACAATGGAAGCTCAACCAATGATTGAAACGTTAAAAGCGGAAAATAAGGCTTTAAAAAAAGAATTAGATAAACGACGCTATGCCGAAGCCAAAAAGGAAAAACGGTCTTTACCCTTGACATGGCCGACGAATAAAAGTGAATCGGAAGCTTGGTCCGAACCAGATCGTAAGGTATCGATGGCTCGGATTGGCTTAGTGGGAGAACGAACGACAGTCAAGGATGTGTCAATTAACAAGCAACGTTTGGGCAGCGATAGTGAAAATGACAATAGTCATTCAGGGCGCTTGAATTCCCGTATTATTAGAGCACGCAATCAAGAACGCATACAACAACTAGAACAAGCACTAGCGCAACGGGATGAACGAATCTTAGAAATTCAGTGCCAGTTATTTGATGCCGATTTGCTTGTCAAACAGGAAACAAGACGTGCTCAGGAAGTGACTGAAAAACTTACTTCCGATATAGAAGAATTAAAACAACGTTATGAAAAAGGCTACGAGAAAGCCAATAACGAATATCAAAAGAAATTACAAGAAGCGCAGAAGGAATACAATGATCTAATCGAAAGGAGAATGAATGAACAAAAGAAAATGTATGAGGAAACCTTGCAACGCGATTGGATTTCTTTGAAATTATATGATGAAGTCAAACGACAATTAGACAAACTTAAAGTTGAACATACGGAGGCGCAAAATACCATAGATTTTCTAAAAGAGAACGAGGAAGAGCTGAAACAATCCTTGGTGGAAAGCGAACTGAGTGCTCGTAACTTGCAAAAGAAATTAAACGAACACACTTTGCAGGCTTCGAAAGCCATCATGGAGCGTACGAAGGCCTTGCATGATAAGTTAGAATTGGAAAAACGCTTACAAGAATTAACGCGACTGTTGGATGATCACAAAACAGAACACAATAACTTGGTGACCCAAATCGCGAACTTGGAAAAAGAACACAATGCCGTTGTGAATTCGAAAGTCAGAAATCACAATGACGACGGAATTTCCTCACAGTCAGGTTATACCTCAGAGGAAATGGCTACGCAGGCTAAGACAAATTGCACTGAAGGGAAGATTGTGTCTGCAGCACAACAACGTCTAGGAGCAGAACGTCTGCAGAATTCTTCTCCAGATTTGGGCATTGAAAGTGATGCGGGACGAATTTCAAGCGCTGAGGTGGCCAATACCCAATGCTCTATGCCGAAGACTATAGAATCGGAGACAGACAAGGCTTCAGCAGTAATGGGCGATGAAGGTGAGTTTTTCATAAATTTTCATAAATCTTACATCACAAAATTAAGCCGAAGAACTCTTAGATAAAATCTCTTCTAATGTGTTTATTAAACGGAAAAATTTTAACAATGCGCTCATAGGTACAAAACTTTATTCAATCTAAATTCTCACTATTTTTTAAGCAGTAAGGTCAAGGGTGTTGTGTTGATAGTTGCCGAGGGATGTCCATGATCTTTTTCATCTGTAGGGCTATTATTATTTCCATCCCCTCACTTTTAAACAAACGTTGCGTCATGGTCGTTTAGGAGTCTCTTATTAAGCGCTTCCCTGAAGTTAGGAATCACTTGTCGGATTGATGTATTTCCTAGCTTAAACTCATAAGAATATTCTTCGCGGTTACCTTTTTTTCAATATGAATTCTACGTAAGTAATAACGGACACAAAATAATTTTAAACATCAAAGCCAAGGTCGAATAATATATAAATACGAAGTTATTTGAGGAAGCGGTGCAACATTATGTCTGCAATAATCTTGTCTGTCCGTCTATATATCGAACTACTCTTACTACCCTGCCATTTGAGAGGATTTGGGGGCTGTAAGGGAAAGACACATTTGTCGTTGCTGCGCTACGTAGTTCAGGAGAAATGGGTGGATTTTGAATTTTTGTTCCATAGACACTCCACAGACGATTCCATCTAAAAGAAATCCACGTGATTTACACTTATAGGTATAAAGGGATGGAAGAAACTTACTTACCTAACGGACAGATCATATGCCCTTGCCCATTCTGTACACTACCCTACATGTGATCTCCTTCGGCCCATGATTTCTAATGACAGATCCCAAAGTTGGGTCCGATGATCCCATTGCCTGCCTCCTTCTCACCCCAAAAAAAAGACATTTTTACATATATTTTTCTTCTTTTCCTTTTAATTCGCATTACTTTCAATAGCAAAAACAATATCAATATCTCTACATTATTTAAAAGGAAACGGATTAAATAATTTGTAAGTATGACTACTTAAATATGTTAGGTACTAAACATATCATATATATATGTAATATACGAAAAATAAACACGATGAAAAACCTTATTTGCCGACTGGTTGCTGCTGCAGATGATGACGTTAGTGACGTGACGAAGGCTGGAACTTTACTGTATTACTGTTGCATACTTTCGACGTTTCGTAAACTCAAAAATTCACCATGAACAGTTCGCGACGAAACCTTTATTTTCCCTTTACCGCTCACCGAAAATGATGGCAACGCAATGTTTAACATAAGTTTTCTATCTTTTATTATCATTATGACTTTTTTTAAAAATATTCTTACTTTTACGACGACTGTTTTTTAACTGAAATATATTTTCCTCTTTAAAAGAATAGAGTGAGTCAGCTGTTTTTGTAGAGTTCCTAAGAAGCGCTGTATTCAACTCATCCTGGTTCATTTCAAATTTATATCAATCGCTTGAATCTTACGTGAACGAGAAATTTTTATGCATTTTTTCCACAATTTTTTTAAGTACAATTTCACCGATTTTTTTCAAGTTTTCGTCCACCTGTCTCGAAATTACTTATCTTCCTTTTTTTTTGTCCTCAAAAATCATATTAAGTGCAAATTATCTCTCCACGCGACCTTCTGCAGGGTAGTATTTGTAGAAAATATTACAAAAGATATGAAACCAGTGTTGCAACTGTTTACAGGAAGCCGCCAAAGAATAGTGACATCCAGAGGGAGACAACAAGGATGCAACGTAATTGCTGTGAGATGTTGGGTCAAAATCCATATATGTAAGAAGGCGAAGGATATTTCCATTCCATTCTATAAAACAAAAAATGTTTATCTTGGATTTAAATAGTCCACTATATATGCTAAAATTTTACAAAATATATTCTAAAATCTCGAGGGAACTTAGTCAGTTATAGAGTAATAAATGTAAAATAACCGTAAGAATATAACGATAATATTATATACATATACTAGCTTATGACGTTTTCTCGATTCAGTTTTTAGTTCAAGATGAATAAAACTTTCTTACTTTTTATTTTTATTATTCGCAGAATTCCCCGAGGACAATGAAGGTGCAAATGAAGTTAAAAGTCCGCCGGCAACACAGACATTGGAATTAGTGAATCTGTCGCATGATTGTACTAAGGTAGAACAAGAAAATGGTGAATTACGTCGTCAACTAATACGCACTAAACGAGCCTTAGAAGACACTTACGAAAAATTACGTTTAGCTAACCAACGTAAAGCACATCTTGAAAAATATATTAAAAATCAAATCGTAAAAACGCACAATGTCCTTAAGAATGTACGTTCCAATATGGAAAAGGAATTGTAACGTTACGTTCTTATCAAGTAAACGCACATCATTATTTAAAATATTTAAAAATAACTTCGCGTATTCGCTATATCATCAGTCAGTTAATTCATTCATTGTTCAGCATATCATTTCATATATATATATGTATATACATTTATGTTTTAATTTATAAATTCCCTTTAAAAGTCTTAATAATTTTTGGCTGTTTGTTAACTCTCATGTTTACGAGTGTTTCTCTGTTTGCACTAAGATTCGCAAAACAAATCACACAATATGTGCCGAAAACCTCATAGTTATATATATTTAATTAACACTTTACACTCCCTCGTTAATAAAAAAAAAAATTTAAAAAAAAAAAAATGTTATTTGTTAACTTTGTCTCCAGCTGCCATATACATTTTTTAAACATTTTATATTTGTCACTAAATAATTTCATTTTCAAAATTTGATATATGTATTTTAACGTAATTAAGCGATACCTCTACAAATAATAACAAAAAGAATAACGCAAGCACCTATATGTTAAAAATAACTAATGAAACGATTATTATTATTATTATCATTCATATTGAATGTATTTTTTAAACGAAACGAACTTTTTAACTTTGAAAAAACAAAAAAAAAAAACAAATAATAATAATAAGAAATTTACTTAATTAATATTCCCACGAAATTCCATTTTTAATGCTAGTTAATTTAATATTTAATATAAATAATTTTTTTACCAACAAAAACTTTTCATTTTATTTCTTTATATTCCTTTGTAGGCTTGTGTAAAACGTTGCTGATCTGATTTTGCTTTCATTTTAATCTTTTTATGTTTGATTAGTGCTTGATCTTCCTTTCAACAAACTATATATAAATATAGTGCTAATATTTTGCTCGCATGTACATTAATCAAAACTAATATATGAACAGGAACGAAATGCTCGTTTCAAAAGGTATACAAATTTGATGAAAATGCTTAGATACGTTGTGGAACTTGTGGATATTAATCCACTTTGAAGTGTTTACTTGAATCTATTTACGCGCCTAAGCTAAATGGTTCGCAGCTTAACTATTGCATAAACTTCGAATGCCTTTTTCGAAAAAAAATTTTCCTTCCTGTTCATATAATACTTTAAGATAAATTTTATTGAAATAATTAAAATTTTTCTTTTATTCTGTCACAGCGCAGTTAGTTTGCAAGTATGCTGAGCATTGAAAAATTTATTTATTTTTTTCTCTTAAGTTTATTTTAATACATTAACAGTAATTTTAGGTGTAAAGAACAAAAAAGATAAAACATCTTGTTTTTATCATATAAACAATGTCCTAAGTTAATTGCAGTGAAAGCACTTTAAAATCCTTGAGTTTACCATTTCGGTCTTTATGTCAAGCTGGTGTTTAATCTGGGAGCATTGAAATTTTGTATGCTCCCAAGTCGATATATTTTCGTTTAAATTTACGTAATCCTTCACACATTCATTTACGTTAAATTAACCTTTGCGCTAATTACGCCTTGCATATTTGCACATTTTGTGATTCAAAAAGGCTCGAAGTTAGTTAAGTAAAAAGAATTATTTTCATAATTTGCACATAAGTTCTGTTCCGAACCAGTTTCAATAGCGTTTGTTCGTCTTTACGCCAAACAAGTTATCAAAATATCCCAAAAAGTGCAATCTGTACGTGGAATGCAAGAACATTAGACAAATAGACGGACTAACAGACAACTCTAATAGGAAGTGGATTTATCTCGAGTTTTTCTAGATGTTGGTTATATCCGCTCAAATCCAATGCGCACTTGTAGCAGAAGTACTCCAGAGAAGCTACAAAATAACGATTCTCGACACAAGATGATTCGTATTGATATTTCTAACCAGAATTTAGCAAAAAGGCGTAATGCACTTTCCGTGTATTTTTTTTCAAGTTCAAATGCTCTTTTAATAGATGGCCTGAGGAATTTCCTTTTAAACCAGTTGTTTAAAATTCGTGAGCATATCTTGTGAAGAGCTAACCACCTTTTCTTCATTAGGTGTACCTAAGGGATAGCCAAAGTGAGAGACACATTTTATTCAGTCTTGTAATAACTACTTGAACCGCATTTACATCCTCAATAAATTTATCAATGATATTTATCCTGTTATTCTGGAAAGCATTGTTCTAATAAAAGTAGAGTTCATCGCCTAGCGCTTTTTGATCGATCGCGAAGTATCTTTTTAATTAAACAGAAAAATGGATTTGAGATTTTTGAACCATCACAGCTAGATAGGAAAGAGTTTTTTTTTTTAGGAAGAGAGAGAATTAAAGAAAATGAAAGTGGATAGACCATAAAAACTTATCTATGCCAGTTTCTTTTTTGCCAGCCATTTAACAGCATCGGACGATAATTTCTCAAACTTTAGCAGAATCGAACCCTAATTTCTCGCACTTTAACAGAAACGG